ACTACTACTCAGCCATAAAAAACGAGAAATTAGAGTCGGGTATAACTAAGTGGATGCACATTGAGGCGATACTCTTAAGTGAAATAAACAGTGAAATATGCTTAAGTGAAATAAATTTACATGTGTAAATACTGAATAGTTTCTCTAGTGTGAGAAACTGCAAGTGCGAATAAGGACTAAAAGGTGTAATAGGTAATGTCAAAAGGGGCGAGGGGGAAGTGAGAGGGGTGGGGCGAAGGAAAGAAGGGAATGGAATTAATTTGTGAAAATGAAAAAATGGAAATCAAGTCTGTGAATAGGGAGGGATGGAGGGGTTGAAGGGAGGGCAGGGGGATGGGGAAAAATAAGACCCAAGAGAGACTATGTAAAGGTGTAAATTTCCAATGATGAATGCCAATATATTGTATACCTAAAATGTACCAATAAAGTCCATTAAAAAAACAGAATTAGCTTGACCTGGATTCACACTCCGCCTCTGCCTCTGTATCATGAGGTGGTCGTAGTCTCAAGAGCAAGGATTGCTGATCACTGTGCCTCACCACTGCCTGGGACTTGGACATGGCAACTTTTTAGCAAATGCTTGTTTAACAAATACTTCATCTAAGTTGAGTCTCTCTGGAACTCACTTTTCTTAGTCATAAGCTACATAGATTGGGTTACTATTTCTACGAACTTTTCAAAATTCTATGAATAACATTTTGAATTGAATTGGGTATTTGAATATAACTGAGCCCTTATACTATGTATTTATATTAAGAATACTGAGTATAAGCCCTGAAATAATATATCACCAATTTTTAAAACCCAAAAGAAATAGTCTTTTCCCTACTAGAATATGAATAATTCAGAAATTATTATTATTATTATTATTATTTTGGTACCAGGGATCGAACTTGGGTCCTTGAGCTTATGTAGCAGGTGTCAAAACCACTGAGCTAAATCCCCGGCCCTCAGAAATTATTGATGAGCAATGAAAAGACATTATGGTGTTAGAAACCCCACTTTGCTGTCTTAACAAGTGTGTATCAGTACTCACATTTGCAGTGTGATTTTCCCAAATCTATTAGTTCATCAATTTAGGAACAATGAATAATGGTCAAAATAACAATGTGAAAAACCTAATTTCAGTCCAACATTTTAGGAGCTATGAAAAATGGCCCAAAGAAGTGTGAAGAATCTAATTTCAGTCCAGTAAATTAAGAGCTATGAATAATGATAAAAAGAAAACTGTGAAAATTAAAGTGTTAATGAATAAGGATTACAAAATAACAGCAATCTATTGTAATATCTTTCTTTTGTTTATTGATGAAGGTAATTGATGATCCTTCCTTCCTCAAATGGTAACACCATGATTTAATTGTCAAAGGAATAAGACTGAGAATTCAATTCAGTCCAACATGCATTTTTTGCATGTTTACTTTGTTCAAACTATGTGTTTAGGCTTATTGTCTTTCTTTTTATTAAAATATGTTTATAATATGTAATCATTACAATCATCTTGGGCAATTGATGCATATACACATTGCATGATCAAATTATGTTTAAAGCACAGTAAAATAAATTTATATTAGGCCGAAGAAAAATTCTGAATAGAACTATGCTTGACATCTTAAACCTAAAACTATAGATTATAGATTATATACTCAGTTTACTAAATCACTAACTTTCTTCAATAGTAGTAATTTTCATGCCAGTTTCTTTATCTGTGTCTTAGTTTTCTCGGTCTCCTATTTACTTTCCAGGAAGAATAACATTAAATATATTTAATGACTAGTAATTATATATATAAATACTTAAATAAAATTTTAAAATATTTTCTATTTCCCAAGTAAGCTAAATTATATCGTATTGTAAATCTGCTTGCCAAATGATATATGTCACAGTACAAATGATTAATTCAGTCATTTAACTTCCATATAATTGTTGATTCGTGAAAATGGTTGGCTTAATCTTTTGAGTAGATCTGTCACTACCTAAATGACCCCAGGAGCCAGGCATGATTTCTCACAGGTAATCACATCCAATTCTTCAGCATTTCCCGTCTTAAGTTGGTATTCGCTAGGTGATTTATAGCCCCAATAAGTACAGAGTTTTTCCTTCAATGATACTGTTCATTCACCTGAGTTTCTTCTAAACTAAGAGGAAGTGTACTAAATTTTTCTTTCCCTTCTAATTACTGTCTGACATTCTTACATACTCAATATTTCCACTCCTGACTGTCACAGGAATCCTTTGTGGTGTGTCTTGTTGAAGTAGTAGCTTGAGTGTGATCTTTCAGAGCAGAGCAGAGGAGAGACACAGCTGAAGGAGTATGCGTCACTGCTTTTAAGTGACATTCTGTGCTTTGGTCCCCTCATCTGTTAAATGAGGATGATAATGATAGCTAGAGTCAAACTTTCTGAGGAGCTACCCTATAATACTTTCTTTTGAGTAATTTTGAGACAGAGTCTCACTAAGTCACTACCAGGCTGGGCTCAAACCTTCAATCCTCCTACCTCAGCCTCCCAGAGTGCTGGAATTACAGGAATGTCCCACCACATCTGGCTGAGATGCCTTACATTAATGTGAATTATGCTGCCCTACAGTTGGCAGTTTGCTCCTATTCTCCCCATCCTAATTTTTAAGTAAGCACTGAGTAAAGTCCTTTTCTTATTACTGTAGGAGGTTGGAGGGCTCAGCAGTAATGAAGGAGTGGAAGGTTTTGCATTTCACCCTCAACAGAGTTCTTACATCCAAACTGGGCTGATGCTGACAACTGAGCAGGTTCCTGGGATGGTGGCCACTGTCTAGAAAGCCGCAGCAACATTGGAACCAGGAACCTCCCAGGTGGACATGTAAATTTACACAGACAAGCACTCCAGTTGGGCCTAGCCCAGTCTTCCAAGGTGCTTGAGGGAATCAGTGGCCCTGGCCAGGCGACAGTGAGCTCACTGGGCTGGGATCCTGGGGACCTGATGTGTCAGAAATGTACATTCTCATTGTTTAATAATGAGGAGGTGGACATGGCCTCCAGCATTGAGGGGTGCAGTAGAGGTTGGTATGGCAGCAGAGGAGGAATGGGAAGGGAGCACTACACTGTAGTTTACCAAGCAGTCTATAAATAGTTCAATACTTGAAGAACTTCTGAGACTTCATTAATATATTCCTACTGAACAGCACCTCTAGTCACTGAAATTCTCATAAGATTATAAGAATTATTAGGCATAAAATACACTTACAAGTGCATTGGACCCAGTCAGTAATCAGGAAGTACTGTTATTATTAACTTCTTTCTTAGAACAGATAAAATTGTCTTTGTTTCGTTGACAGTAGGAAAAGCAAGATGAAAATCAGACTAATTTGTGGGACCATTATGCTTCTTTATGTCTTACTATAGTCAAGAGACCATTTCCCCTCTAGGGTTTTTCTTTAGTTTTAGTATAAGTTGACTTGATGTTACTAAGAAAAATGGTTGCATTTTGGCATTAAAAATCCTAATGCTTGTTGGAAGTATTCTTGTCATTCTGATTTTTATGCCTGGATTTAACATTTTTTTCTTTACTCCACACTGACCTTAAACAGTGCCAAGCATGTAGTAAGCATTTAGTAAATATTAGTTGAATGACTAAAAATATATTAGGGGCCTTCTGATGAGAAAATATGGACTATGACTGGATCCTACAATAAGCATGTTAGTATTAAGTAAAGTGTGTGATCTCAGAAAAAGGCAAGAGAAAAGAATAGGTTATACTTCAGGTGTACTTTAGGTGCTAAGGTATTAGGTTTGCCTGCATCATTTGTCCTAGAATAACACTCTTTCTTCTAAGGTGCCCTAAGAGCTAGCAGTGATGGAGTTGCTTGCCTCTCTGTCCAAGGAGTGATTACTTGAAAGGAAAGGAGCTGATAGTTCAAGGTGCCTGGGGATCCAACGTGATATCATTGCTGAGTCATCATCCATGTGCCCACATCTCTTGCCTTTGACGTCTCTTTTCTTTGGTTTTCTCTTCCTTCACTTTATCTAGTAATATATTTTCAAATCAGTGTCTTGCAAAAGATCTACTTTTTCTGAGAATTTAAATTCCATCTAGTTAGAATGTTTAGAATAGTACCTGCCTGCCATGAAAAGTATTAAATACATGTCTGTTAAGTTGAATTGAACGTTACTGTTCCAGCTTCTCTCCTTCACTGTTTAATTTCTCTCTGAGTATTTCTTTTATCTGCTTTAGGTACCTCCCAGCCCAAAGTCCTTTAGCTATTCACAAATCTGCAGAGTTTGACTGATTAGACAGTAGAGTACGCAAGCTGGTATGGCCCCTTTCCACTAGGAAGACAGGGAGGAAGGGTATAATAAATAGAATCTATAGTTATGGAAGTTCTCTGAGGAGAGAGAGTTAACTTATTTTACATGAGTGAATTCATACTTATTGTTAAACAAGTCATAAATACACATTTTTGCTCTTGTGTTTATTTGGGCATAAATTATGGTTTATATAAATCTATAATCTTAAAACATTAAAACATAAGCATTGAGGTTTGCAAATTAAAAAGTTTTCCTTTAACTTTGTTTTCCCACAGAATTTTGTGCGTCATCACTGGGTGCACAGGCGCCGGCAGGAGGGAAAATGTAAGCAGTGTGGTAAGGTAAGGGCCCAGCCACCCATGGCCCTGCAGGAAGTGGACACCGAGGTAGAGGATTCCTGTCCCCAAGCCCAGTGTTCTGTGCATCATTTCTTTTCTGAAAGGCATTATTTCTCCAAATTTCCTTTTCTTAAGGAGTGTTTTGATTGTTTTCAAATTCATTGCAAGGGGCAGTTGTCTTAAAGGAATTAGAACTTTTTGATGGACAGTCTTACAGTAAATTTTATTGATTGTTGATTTTTGATATATACGTCTTCCTACTTTGTTCAACTCCCCCTAGAGGACCACTGGCCCATCGAGCATATTTGATCAGTCACAATGCTATGGAGCAATGTTACTTTTGCTGATACAGAATTGTCAGCATACACTCTGATAGCATAATAGCAGAACTGTTCAGAGGAGGACAACACAGTCAGAACCTGGACATACATACATTACTCTGTCAGAACCTTTCCAGTTTCTGGGCAGAGATGCCTTCTTCATGCGTGACCCTGTGTGTCAGTTTCCTTTCTTCCTTTGATTGAATATCCCTCAGGATGCAGTGTCTCTTGGAAAAGTGAGGGGGCATGGGTCGGGGTGGTATGACTTTGAGATTTAAACTCTCTGCATTTTTTGTGTTATTGATTTAGATCATAACTTTCCCCAGTGTACAAAGATCAACTCTTTTTTTTTGTTCCGGGGTTTTGTTCCGGGTTTTTTTGAACTCAGGACCTTGCGGTTTCGAGGCTGGCGGTGGAACCACTGAGCTAAATCCCAAAAATCGACTTTTAAGAATTTTAAGGTTTTCTAGGAAGATTAAACTGGTGATGAATCATACTATTAATTATTTTTTAAAATAATGAGCTAATGGCCATCAATAAAGGGAGGTTTTAATTAAGCAGAGAGCAAGATAATTTGGGTGAATATATTCCTCATCAAACAATTATTAGGGCCAGAGATTTAGCTCAGTGGTTTCACCACCTGCTGCACAAGCGCAAGGACCCGAGTTCAATCCCTGGTACCAAAAAAAAAAATAATAATAATAATGGAGGGATGCAAAGAAATTTTGGCAACCTGGGGTAGGGTTGTGGGTGGTGAGAGAGAATTGGAAACATTTCATTGATTTTGCTGTTTGCCTTGTTCCTGGGAAGAAAATACCATGCTGTAATGATTAGTTATCACATTCTTCTGTAGCACAACTCAGAATAGCTGAATCTTGGAAACGGCCTATTTGTCCATCAACAGATGAATGAATAAAGAAAGTGTGGTGTTCATATTCACTGGAGTCCTACTCAGCCATAAAGAAAAATAAATTTGACTCATTTGTAGGAAATGGATGCATCTGTAGACCATAGTGCTATGTGAAATAAATAAGACACACAAGTTTAAATATCACATGGTTTCTCTCATATGAAGAACTCAAAGTATAAATAATTTATAGAGAAAAATAAAAGATAGAGATAAGAAACAGAGAGGTGGACCTTTTGCAGACAGGAAAGATATCTAGGAATGAAAGGAGAGGGAAAGGAGGGGAGAGAAAAGGCAAATAAAAAGAATGAGATGTGTATATGTACTAGCTCCCCACAGTGGATGTATTCATTGTGTTTTGTAAACATTTACTAATATAAAAAAAGTTTTCCGGCACAAGGCTCCAGGGCATAGCCCTCCATTGTAACTAGTATTATCTCCTCCATTTCAACCCAGTGGGTCATAGTTGATTCCATTTTAGATGGGCAAAATAGGTTGAACAGATGATGAGGTAAGAGGAAGAAGACAAGGAGGAAGAAGAGGGGTGGGAAGATTTTTATTAGCCATTTTACACTCCTGGGAAGGTTGGTGTTCTACTGTCATGTGACCTTCCTGGTTAGTCCATCCATGTCTTCCTCTGTGGTGCTGCCTTCAGGTTTATGGGTTTTCTCATGCGTTTTTAATAGTAGAATATCTGTCAGTTTGTCTATCTATCTATCTAGAGAGAGGAACATATATGTATGTAAGAGAGACAGGCAGGCACAACCAAGTTTGGAGTCAGTGTTGTGGGCTGTAGGAAGGATCTGGATGAATATATTCTTCTTTTTGGAAAAAGATCTTCACTAGAGAGCTTAGTACCTGGAACCATTTTACCAATTCAAGCCATAGTGGATTTGGAGGAATGATTGTTTTTTTTTTTGGTATCAGGGATCGAACTTGGGATCTTGTGCTTGGGAGGCAGGCGGTGGAACCACTGAGCTAAATCCCCAGCCCAGGAATGGGTTTTTAAAAAAATCAATAAACCTAATATATTTTGTGACAAGTATTCTCTGGTGTCATTTTGCACTTCCTTATGCTTGCATGGTTACCTGGATGGGAAACCTGGGACTCCTTACACCTTGTGTTGCTGTGGTCCTGTCTCCTTTCCTCTAGTGTGCTGAGGCAGCCATCTTGGGTTCCCACAACTTTCTGCTCATGACAGTTGTCAGTGGAGATGTTCCAGCTCTTTACATACAGTTCCCACAGTAAAATACTATTCTGTTCATCTTTTGTGTTTATACTCCAGCTACTCATGAATTCTTAGACTCAAGCAGTTAAGGGACAGGATGGTCTTACACCCATGTGTCCTTGTAGGGATCCTTTGCACCCAGCTTCTACCTTGTCCTGGAGGAAAACTGAAGGTTCTGTTTCTGTTTACATATTAGGTGACTGAAAATTCACTTCAAACTTTGGTGCTATATGTAATTTTCATCTGTAGAGTTGCACATTCTCACATACTCCCAAGGCTTTTAAATCCACCCAACCTCTCTAACACATATGTTATACCATAATTAATTAATTGGGATGGGATGAAAAATAGCCACTTCTCTTAGAAAAACTTTTTCCTTTACTAGTGGTTTGTAAACTTTGGAGCTTTTTCGGAATGCTTATAGTTAGTGTGTGGTTTCAATATCTACTTTTTAATTTAACAATATAATAAATATTTCCAGTGATTTTCTCTTGAGCCTTGCATGTGTTTATCTAAATGCATGTGGTGTCTAGTGACTGTCACATGAGAGATGTTCAATTTTTCTGTTCATTTAACATTAGCTGAACACCTCAGGCTGCCAAATTTATGGCTATTACATAGTATTACATTGTTGTCATTCATGGTCCTGTCTTGTGAAAGAGCCAGACTTGAGGCAGGAAAGAGATGAAAAACTCACACGTGAGTTATGTAATTTGATGAGACTTTAATAAAGTGAATATTTAAAATGTGTGACTAAAGGTTAGTACTGGCAAGGGCTATGGTCAGGCCAAGTCTGAAGTGCCAGGATGTGCATGGACCCTTCCCAGAAGCTGTGGCCTTTAGTCACAAGGTTTCAAGAGTCTGAGGAGCTCAGTCAGTGGATATATGGCTGGTTTTGCCTTCTACCTCTAGTGGCCAAACTCAGTAGAACCCAAGCTCCAGGAATTCTGCTGACGCTGGGCTGGGGATCTAGCTCAGTGGTTCTGCAGCCTGACTCGCAAGAGCAAGGTCCTGAGTTCGATCCCCAGTACCAAAAAAAAAAAAAAAATCTGCTGAAGCAATCTACAAAAGCCAACTTTTTGCAGCAGGACATAGGGTAGAAGAAGATAAAGAGTGGACTAGAGAGGCAGATGGATCCATCTATCACATACCATCTAATGCAAATTTAAATCCATTCAGTGGTTGAAGATAGAATGCATAATTATTCTGCAAATTTGTCTGTAAGTCATTCTTACCAAATCTACTTATTGCATTCATTCAGTCAAAATTGACTCAACACTGAAATGCCTATAATAACTTTAAAACATCAATATACAAAGAAAAAATATAATAATATTATTGATTTAATTTTAATTATTGATAATAATTTGATTTTTCATTGTTTCAGAGAATCAAGCATCCAAACCTAGGAGTTTGGAAATTGTAGAAGTATGTTTGTAAATCACAACTTGGAAGTTTATTTTTTTCCATGTACAAATATATGTAAACATTATACAGTAAACCAGATAACTTTTTTTTTGAGGGGGGTACTAGGGATTGAACTCTGGACCTTGCGCTTGTGAGGCAGACTGTGGAACCACTGAGCTAACTCCCTGGCCCCCAGATAACTTTGAAACTCACATCTCAAAATTTAAATAATCAAATCTTGAAGTTTTTAATCAATAACATAAACATTGACCTATATTGTTTGATGCCTTTCATTTCCTTAACCAAACATGACATATCATTATGAATTATTTATTCATGAATTATATGTACTGTCATATTTAATTAACTTTAGCTACATGTAGCATGTATTAAGTGGGAAAATGTCAACATTACTCTTTTATTATGATAGATACTACTAAAAGTTAGTTTAAAATGAACTAAGGTGCAATCAGTAAAATATACACATCTAAAAGAAGTATACATAGTTGTCTTTTTATAATGACAAAATGATTATCAATTTTACATGGTGGCCATGTTGAGAAATTATAGAGATAATGAAAGGGATTGTAGAGCCTAAAAATACAGTGATACCTTGGTTGTAGAATGACTCCAAGCTAGAACCTTCCACTATTCAAACAGCAAAACTAAAAAAAAAATCTGCTTGGTGTTTGTAACTTTGCTCAATAGTCAAACTGAAAATCCAATTTTAAAAGCCTATACGGGCTGAGAGTGAGTCATGCATTGCGTCTCACTGCAGGGCAAAAGGGTGACACTTCGTCAGTCTAAGTGCCCCTCTTATTCATACAACATATGGTGCTTATGTAATTTGGGGACCTGAGAACCAATTATTTGGTTTTCCATTATTTTTCATTGGAAAAATACATTTAGTTCTCAAACTTTATGAATTGGAACGAATTGAATTCAACAACTGAGGTATCACTGCGATGGCAAATACTGACCTGGGGCGTTGGGGAATATTCCATATCAACTAAAAGAACCATTCTGTACTCACCTGAAAATGGGCAGCTTTCAAGGGACCCTCGGGATCAACTTTCAAGGGACTTTCAAGCTTAGGAACAAGGAATGGAAGGTCAAGGGAGAGGATCCACCATTCGTCAAA